AACTGTGGTGTCACAAGTGGCCACAGAGGGCCTTGTCCCTTTGTGCAAAGACGGTTTTTGCTGGGAAGAGAGTTCCTCTCCTTCCTTTGGCTTCTGCATCATTTAGAGAATCATGAACTCATTTTGATGGTCCTCTCCTGATGGAAAGAGTCACTAATGCCAGTGGATGGGAGGAGTCAACCATGAGCTCTTTCCCCTTGGCCAGAAGCTGTTTAATCTCCAAAGCCGCCTCCTCCTTGGCCCCAGGCTGCCAGACAGCCTCTGTTCTGGTGTATCTAACCAGGAGCCCTGTAGTCCTGGCTGTCTGCTCCCAGAGAGGGGTCCTGGGCCAGCACACAGAGGCTATCAGAACTGAACTGAGCTGCTAATCACACCATTTATAAGGTCAGGGCCTTGAAGAGGCTTTGTTTATACAGCATGGAGTTCCCAGGAATCCATAGCCCCACTCCTGGCTGAGACAGTCCAGTCTCCTGCTGGCCTGCTAGTCTGCCTGGGACTACCTGGGGGCCCAGCCCTAGGCTTTCTTGGTAAGAAAGGTGATAAGCAGTGTCTCTGACTGTTGTTAGTCCATGTGAATGGTGCAGGAGTTGGGCAGTGCACAGACTGCACGGCTGTACATAGCGGCTCTGCGAATGGGCAAAGAGGGGAAAACGGAAATAAAACTACCATTTGGAGTGCCTTTTATACATTCTGGGTGTTTTTCCTAAAGATATTGCCCAATTTTACCAGTGAGAAAACTGATTCAGAGAACTTAAGTGACTGCCAGGGTCACACAGCTGTAGTAGAGATGGGCTTCAAACATTTGTGAACGTGAAAATGTCACTTAGTAACCACTAAATGGCCAGTTTAAAACATTCTCCCATATTGGATATTTTCTTTCTCTAGCCACCTCAGAACTTGCCCATCTTTCAAAAGGGAAAACAAATCCCCCTGCCTCCATCAGTATCTGTCTTTCATCAAGCCCCCAAATTCCTCCTTTGTGACTCGTGCTCACTGACTCCACTTCTTATCTGCCCGTGCTCTTGTGAACACTTAACCTCCACCTTCTCTTGCCTTGCTGTCTTCCAAGTCACCTGCTGGGCCTGTGTCCCCGGGAACTCTTTTCAGTCCTTAATCTCCTCACCCTCTTGGGAACACGTGGCCCTGTTGTCCATCCTCTCTGGAACTTTTTTCCTTGGCTTCCAAGACTCTGGGCAACCATTCATTCATGGATCTGTTAATACCCTTGGAGGGCCCATGCTCTGTGTGTTCAAGGAACACAGAGTCCAGGGCAGAGGCAGATGTTAATCGATAAGCATACAAGTCACTGATTCACACCTGGAGTAAGTGCTATGAAGGAAGCATGCGGGAGCTTGAGAACATAAAACAGGACCCCTGCGTCCAGGCTGAGGTCAGGAGGGCCTCCTCCAGGAGCCTGTGCTTTGAGCTGAAGTCTGCAGGAGGCCCCAGAGCCAGCTCTTGGGGAAGAGTGATCTAGACGTTGTGGTATAAAGCATGGGCAGAGGCCAAGCATGGCCCATGGGGAGGGTAGTGAAAGGAAGCCACAGTGACTGTGATACAGAGTGAGCGAGGCAGTGTGGCACCAAGTGAAACTGGAAAGGTGGGCAGGTCGGTCAGGTTACACCTTACGAAGCCGTGATTTAGGATTTTGGATAGTTGTATGGCCATACAAGCTATGAGCTACACGGCTCAAAAGGGCTCTGTTTAGCTTGCAGTCTATGACAGTGGTGCCCTGGGAATGTGAATGACGTGACTTGGAGTTATGCAGTGCACATCCTGCACAACCCTACCTGGAGGCCTATAATAGTCTGACTGCAGTAGGTAGAATGGATTGGAGAGAGCAGGAGCAGCTCATTAGGAGCTGCTGCAGTGGCTCCAGGGCCACTTTACCTTCTCCTTTACAGCCACTCCCTTGACGAGCTCACCTTTGCCCCTCTCTGCCTTTCTAGCAGTTCCCCCCTGGAGTAACTTCCTAATACCTGACTTGAGTGGAATTTAAGAAACACTCAGCACAAGCGTTCAGGGGAAGACAGGAATCAGCCTAGAGAGCACGGAATTCTACCTGGCAGAAGGTGATTCAGGGTGGGACTCCTGGCTCAGCAGGAGCAAGGCAAGGTAGCAGGGCTCCGCCTCAGGCCAGGGCCCCAGCTAGAGGCTCAGATCTGTGATGAGCCACCATGGAAGCAGAAACAAGCTGTGCGCTCCAGCCCACTTGCGGCCTCTCCAGGGATCTCTGGAAGCCCCTGGTCTATCAGTAGGAGACCTTGGGCCCAGCCAGGGTGGAGCAGGGTTGGTCTATAACTGGGATAAGCCCTGGGAGGGACCGGGCAGGAGGGGCCTTGAGGTGGGGGAACCTAAGGAGGATCCCCAGCCCTGGGCCCTAGGCCTGGAGCCTGGGGCCTGAGGATGCCAGGCTGTGGCAGTCCCAGTTACAAGAATGCCAAGGCTAAATGCAGAGTGATAAAATGGACTTTAGAGACAAAACAGCGCAGGCAGGAGCGGGGAAAGGGGTAAAAAAACTAATACATATTAGGTACAATGTGCAGTACTTGGGTGATGGGTGCCCTGAAATCTCAGAATTCACTGCTGTGTAATTCATTCATGTGACAGAAAACCACTTGTATTCCAGAAGCTATTGAAATAAAAAATAAAATGAAATCTTTTTTTTTAAAGTCCCAAGGCTGAGACCCCCTGGCTCCCCACACTGCCTACTCTTGAAGGATCCCTGTTGGATTGAGCAGAGTGTTGCTAGAATCCTGACACCTTCCCTCACCTCTTCTTTCCCAATGGCTTCGTGTCATCTCTCCCATCTTTGAATCCCAGAGCATTTAT